ACATCGGGAACATTTGGGCGCTGCGGATAACCACCGCCGCCGCCACCCCTACCACGTTGGGCACCGCCTCCGCCACGACTCCCGCCACGGTATCCGCCTCTGTCACCGCCACCAGCGGCTCCCCCTCCACGTCCACCTCCGCGACCATCACCGCCGCCGCGTTGACCCAAACCACGCCCCCTTTGGGCTCCGCCCCCTACACGTGAGTCAAGTTTATTAGACATACTAATGATTTAAGTGTTTATTTTAATGTAAATGTAATGCAATTTAGCGCTAATTAGTAGTAAATAGTGACTCACGAGTTGGCGATGACATCACTGACACACAACTGATCCCTTGTTGTGATCCAACTGATGGCAGCCAATCAGCGCTTAATTAAGAGGTTTATCCGTTAATTATATTATAAATCATATGTTAATCACTCACTAATTGCTTACCTCTAATCCAATGAACCGATGAATCACTCGATAAAGTGTTGACCACAAGACAAGACACACCGTTTGGATGTGACTAACAGTTCACTAAACACTGGTTATAACGGTTTGAGAGTCAGAGTTAAAACACAAGAGAGTGTTGTGTTTATGCCATACGATAGCCCTCTCTGTACTGAAATGTGCTGAACGTGTGGTTTGTGTGAAACTATTCAAAACACAAATGCATTGCAGTGTAAGTGTTGGGTATAACGCATGCGCTGTCCGTATAACACGTTATCACACGTCTGTGTAAGCGATGGCATACGCAAAGTGTGTGTACTTTTTGCACGTATTCTCGTTCCCCCAACGCCACCCCTCACTACCCCCTTGTCTATCAGTCTATACACTAATTACATGTATTAAAGTTTGCGTTTCCCTATCCCTCCCCCTCTAATTATGAGTACGTTCTCTATGATTGACTCTATTTTTAAATATTTTGTAAACTTTTATTGTTTGTAAAAACTTTTTAAACTACAGCAAATATTTTTTTTATCATGTTGATTGATTTTATAAATATTTTCCGTTAAACTTATCTAATCAGGAAGTTTTAGTTAAACATGTGTAGTTATTTTGGTTAGTTTGCTGTTTGTTATCATGTGTTTTTAATGTTAGTTTTTTAATTGAACTAATTCACTGTATTTGTAACTCTTATGCTATCTATTCTTCAGCGGTTTAATTACCATATTCTTCAATAAATCGCAATTTAGTAAAAGTTGCATATATTTATACGACATTACAATATTTATAATAATCATAATTAATATTAATGTAATAGTAAAACAATAAATTAATTAATACTCGTATTTTTGGCCCAAAATTTTTTGGGTTTTTTTTTTAAATTTTTTTAATTTTTATTGTTATTTTATTGCAAAATTACTACAAAAGTTAACAATTCGCAGTAATTAAAATGCATTTTTATACAAAAATTTTTTCAAATAAGCTCATTGATTATTCAAAGTAAATGCCCATGGCACATATGACCAGAATAATTAAATGTTTAACATTTGTTTTTGATGACGGGGGGGTGAATTACGCACCCAAAATTAAATGACTTATCAATTGTCATAGTTGATAATTGCTATTTAATTATCACATAAGACTGACTTGAATTGCATAAACAATTAGTGGACAACTCTATGGACAATAAATCGGGTTTAGAATTGTGGTTAAATAATAGAATATAAGAAAATAAGTAATATTTTTAGAATAATAGCATAGTTTAATTATAATCTTTTTTGTTTGTTAATGTTTTGTAATTTTTTTTGGTGGCCTAAGAGAAACAGTAAATTCCTATTTATCACTCGGTATTAGTCGGGAACTTACAGTAGATTGTGACCATTTTTTATTTATTTATTTTTTGGGTTAGTATTCTGATAATTAAAGCATTAAGATTCAAATTATAATTAGTATTGAATTCAAGATCAAAGAAAACATTTATAACCCAAACAAAAGGGTTAGTAATCATTGAGATACAGATTAATAGAGATTAAGGGATTAAATAAGAGTCCAATTAATAAGTAAATCTCAAGCGAGACATCAAATAAAAACACGGATTGAAAGCAAATCAAAAAAACAAATTAACCTCAATTCGGGAAAAACAGAATAGAAATTAAAGCATTGAATTGAGATTAAAAGCAATTAAAGGGTTTAAGCATAAAAGGGGAGGAAAATGACATTCCTGTGCGCCTCGACATTAGCATTGAGGAGCGCAACATTGTCCGCCTCGCGGGCCCGTCTCTGGTCGGGTGTCTCGTCTCTGACCCGCGGCAGGAACGGCAGGTTCTGGTCCTCGACGATCACTTTGGCGCGACCGGCCAACAGATCGGCGTACGCCACGGGCACCGGTATCGATATGGGTGTCGCGCACCGGCAGTACGTATGGCACATGTTGTACGACATCAGTTGTTTCTGGTCTGCAGTGAGATTGTGGTCATCGCGAAGACACACGTATTTGGCGTGACGTGACGTACCCTACGGTGCAATTCATAAAATAAAATTACAATTAAAATCAGTGATAAATAGCGCCAAAACCGATGGCCACTGGCCGTAGTTGTCCGGCACCGGATCAACAAATCGAGGCAACAGTTTGAATACTCACGAGTAGACCGTTGTGTGAGCACAGATGAAACTCGTCCCGCAGGGGGTGCGTAATGGTGTGGTCCACAACAGTTCCCGCGGGTATATTGCGAATCTCCCGACCCCTGGCATCGTTGGTGCGCGCGAATGGCATAAACCTAATGTGATGTCTCTTCTGCACCACAAACGCCGTCACTTTGAAGGGAAAGTCCTTCCGTATCGAGTCGTACGCCTTCCGGATGAGCGGTATCTCTACGGCCAACACCTGATCCAACTGTCCGTCGGACACACCGTCGCGGAATAGGATCACACTCTGCGGCAGAGAGTTGTTATTCTTCGCCTGATATGCTTCCAGATGTCGGACAAACATCTCATCGTAAGTGGGAATGAGTTCAGTGTTGGGCGGCTGTCCGGCAACCGTCTCGTGATATATACTAAAAGCCGAGTCAATACTGGCCACTGAGGCCGCGATGGACGGGCATTGGTTCAGACCGGCTCCCGAATGAATCACGTCTACGCCCACAACCATTGTGGACCGCTGTTGGTCACTATTACCGCCGAGTAAAGCCGATGGTCGGCACTCAGGGGCGAGCACTTGATTCTGACCGCCAATTCTGGCCTTCGTTTTGTAGACATAATTGCGAAAATAGCCGCGCGGAGTGCGCATCAAGTTCTGGTCGAGTATGCACTGAGTGGCCACTCCGTAAACGCGATCGCCATAGCGTTTGACCGCTTTGTATATCGGTGTCACCGGAAGGCATATGAATATCATGTCGAGATCTCTGTGTTCCGCAATGTCTGCTTCGATCGCTTCCCGAGTAAGTCTGTGCGACACTTTGACCACCGGCTGATCGGCAATAGTGATGCCAATTTGCCGCGCATTGCGGATCAGTTCCGGAAAAAACATATCGTAATGTGTCTGAAAATTGTTGTCTACGGCCTGTGAGTAATTGAGAAACGCCCACCGATTCAACGGTCGGCCACTTTCTAACCACCGCTGATCGCCCAGAAGTCGGGGCGAAGACAGCCTGCGTCCGGTCAGTTTAATCGGCACCAAATTGAGCTCAAGACCAAAACTAGCCATCAATGCGCGGCTGACAGCCTCTACCTCTTCGGCCGACTGTTGTATTAGACCGAAGCGAGTGCTCGGGTCCTGACTGCTAGCGCTCGTCTTCTGTTGTGTCATTTCTGGTGTTTCCATACGGCGCGGCATCGGCTGATTGGGGTACACGTGACACACGTCTACCGGCAAGTGATTGCCGTTCCGGGCCTTAATGAGGCCCACATTGCGTAACAGTCGGCCGGTGTGTGGGTACGTATTGCGGAAGTATTCCTCGAGGGTAACGGACTGTCCGTTGCCATCGGTAAACGTGTGTTCGTGTACTTTCTCGGCGACCATTAAGTTCATTATAAAGTTACGCTTTTGGGCCACACCATTGTTTAGTCTATGATTGGTGTATATCGTGAGGCCTGCGAACGTGTATAACGTAATTACAATCAATTGATTAATGGATAAATGTTATCAAAGTTAATGAACAAACCGTTAATCCTGGCGCTAACTCTTCGGATATCCTCTGCGGTGAACCTATAGTTCCGAATGTCACTTATATTGAGTTCGCGCTCAATGAATGCGGTCAATGGACCGCCGGTGACCATCAAAGTGAACGCGCGGTCAAAGTTTGCGGTCACTCCCGATTTGGTCACGTAAATGGCCTGCGAGTGACCCACAGCTATCTCGACGTTATCGGCCCCTTGTCGGCGGCCATCGCGTAAAAAGAGATTCCTACCGACAGTGACCAGACTCTGAGCCGGCATATATCGCATCACTATTTCCAACGCCTGTTGCGCTTCGCGAAAGTCTTCGGCATTGGCCGCAGGGTTATGGCCACTGAAGTACTCGACCAATGGTGCCATCGATACCGCCCTCACGTATTGGATACGCACCTCAAATGTCTGCTCCGGGAATCCGTCCAATTGTAGGGTCACTGCCCGAGTGATGGGCGCCTCCATAACAGTCGGTAACTGTTGACTGACGTATAGAAACTTCTGGCCATCGAAAGCGTACAAAAGTCCGCCAAACGCTTCCAACCATTCGGTGGCCATTCGCTGTACGACACGAATATTGTCGGCCTTTCGCTCGTCGCGCACGCGTCGGGCGTTCTGACCGCCGGCCGGACCCGCAGTCATCTGCACAAAGCCGTGGCCATCGTTTCGCCGGAGTTGTATGTCTATATCGTACAGATTCAACGATATCTGTTCCCAACCGGTGATGGGATAGAGATTGACAATCAGTTCAATTTCAGCGCCTAATGTTCCGCGCGGTGTCGGCTCTCTGGGCGTCGTTCCGCTGCCACCGATTGCCAATTGGGACACCCGTTGTGCTAACGCGCGGACATCGGGTACGTTCGGGCGTTGAGGAGGACGGGAACCGCTACCACCATCGCCACCGCCTCCCCCTCTACCCCGTTGACCACCACCGCCTCCGCCACTGTATCCCCGGCCGCCTCCACCGCCGCGACCACTGCTCGACTCGTATGATTGGTGTCGATCACCGCCACCATCGCGTCCGGCGCCGCCACGGCCTCCACCGGTGGGACACTCTCTGGAATAGTGACCACTTTTGCCGCACTTGAAACAGGCGTCACCGCCAAAACTACCTCCACGTCCACCTCTTCGGCCATCACTACTACCACCGCTACCGCCACGCGGGCCAAAGCCACGGCCCCTTTGGCCACTACCGCCTCCTATTGTGACGTAAAGTTCATGTCATTTATAACAACGATATAAATGTTTAATTAAATGTAAATTAATATTAGAGCTAATTATAGCAGTAATTATGACTCACGACTTGACATCACCACAACTGATCCCACTTGTGTCTAATCACGTGATGGTAAACACACTCTAAGAGTTGAATAATGGATCAGTTTATGAATCATATGTTAATCACTGACTCATTGCTTACCTCTAATCCAATGAACCGATGAATCGCTTGAGTCTTAAGATATCGAGTGTTTGCGACCAATACTTGTCGTGAGATTGCGATGAACTGTGAGTAAGAGTTGGGCACTAATTATACGCTTTGAGAAAGTGGTTGACAACAGTGTCTGTGCTTTGCGTTCAACTGTTCGTAGCCTTCGCTGTACTAAACGACTAACCGGTGAATCACTTATGAGTTGTGAATACAGTTTTTGAACGCATTTCAAACGTTGTATAACTTTTAGCGCATAAACCGTTTGCAGAGACAGTGGACTCGCATTACACAACTCTATCACACGTCTGGTTAGTGAACGCATACATCATATATGAGTACACTTTTGCATACATTCTTTGCCCCCTAACCCTTCACTCACAGCCCCTGTCTATCAGTCTATATAATGTACACTAATTGCAAAATTATAATAGTTTATGTTTCCCTCCCCCTCTAATCGTGATATATCCTTTCTGAACGATTTTAATAAAAAAAAACTTTTACAATGATGAAACCGAAAGTAATGTACAGTTAATGCATATAAATGTAGATGGAATTTATCAATATGTTTACTTTACGAGTATTTTTAGGCATATTTAAAAGTTCTAGAAAATTCGAGAACAATATTAATATGTAACTTTATTAAATGTTACTTTTATTGAGATGAGTCATTATTTTATTTTCTAATATTTATTATGTAAACTTATGGAAAAACAAAATAAATGATGTGGGTAACAAATGAACCAGTCAAGTCAATGGAATTATCACCATGATCAAATACAATGTCAATATTAAAAACTATAAATTAATTAATGCTCGTATTTTTGGGTTTTTTAAATTTTTTATTGTTATTTTATTGCAAAATTACTACAAAACTTATCATTTTGTAAAGTAATAAAAATGCATTTTTATACAAAAATTTATTCAAATAAGCTCACTGATAATTAAAAGTAAATGACCATGGCACATGTGACCAGGATGGATTGCATAGAATAAATGTTTAACATTTGTTTTTGATTTAACCCAAAATTAATTGTCATAGATGTCGATAATTGCTATTTACTTATCACATAAGACTAGAATAATCATAGACTGACTTGAATTGCATAAACAATTAGTGGACAACTCTATGGACAATAAATCGGGTTTAAAATTGTGGTTAAATAATAGAATATAACGTAATATAATCAGTAATATTTTTGGATAATAGCGTAGATTAATTATAATCATGTTTTTGGGTTTTATTTTTTATGATTTTTTTGAGGCCTTACTTAAAAAATCAGGAATTGAGACCAATTTTAATTATTTTGTAATTTTTTTGGTAAATTAGTAATTAAAAAATTATTTAAGTGAAAAAAAATTATACCGTAAATCAAACAAAAGGGTTAGTAATTAAATTGTAACAGAAATTAAAGGTATAATTAGGGGACCAATTAATAAGTAAATCTAAATCAAGTAATCATGAAATTAAGAATTGAAAGCAAAGCCAAAAATAAACCTCAATTCGGGGAAAACAAAAAAACTAAATCATTGAATTGAGATTAAAAGCAATTGGGTTTTAAGCATAATATGGGCGCAAAATCAACTTCATGTGCGCCTCGACATTAGCGTTGAGCAGCTGGACATTGGCCGCCTCGCGGACCCGCTTCTCATCGGCCGACTCGCCCCTAACCCTTGGCTGAAACGGCAGGTTCTGAGCCTCGATCACAATCTTGGCGCGAGTGCACAGCAGGTCGGCGTACGCCACGGGCACCGGTATCGAGATGGGTGTCGGGCACCGGCAGTATGCGTGACACATATGGTACGAGATCTGTTGCAACTCATCTCGAGTCAGTTTGTG